CCCTTTGGTATGGGGACAGTCCTTCAGAGTATTGTCCAGGATATGACTTAAATGACAAGTCATGACTGAAAATGTAAAAATAATTTGCATTTTCAGTATGGGTGGGCTTTGGAAAATGTTGGCATAGACATAGCTTCAGGAATATGAAGTAGCATGTGAGGCACAACTCAGCGAGATCAGAAATATTCCACTGGGTTTTTGAGCATTTTTCCCTGTTAACTTGGTAAGAGATGTAATGAGGTTGTAACTGCAATTGTTCTTTTTATGTTACAGTTTTGTCATGCCCTACATTTAGATGTATGACTGTAATACGAGCATATAATGCCACGCAGTGCTGTTCTCTTTATTGTATTTGCAACTTTATTTTTCAATCAGTCTACTAGTATTTACATAAAACCAAAATATGTCCTTAGTATCAAGACATTTACTGAGATGCTGTGATGAAATAAAGCTTTTCAGCATCCTTTTTAATATTAAATATTTATTAGTTGTTTTAAAAAAATCTATCTCAACTTTAGTGAGTCTCTTGCAATCATTTTTGTTCTCTATTAAAGGTAATATATAACACTATTGTGTAGGATTTTAAAATCTCCAACCGATCATATTTTTTTCCCCAAGTTCACAGCAGGCAAGTCTCATACTACTGGGGTTTTTTTGTTCAGATACTAGGGCACAATTTCCTTTTTCTGAATATGATGTATCCTTTAATAGGCTATAAGCATACGGTTATAAGTTGTATAAGTTGTGCTGTGTTTGGACATCATTTCGACTGTGGACAGCTATTTTAAGCACAATTCTCTGTCATCTGAATTTCCTGAGCATTGCTGTTGTAAGTCTTGTGTCTATATGATAATAACTATTTGGCTCTAGGTTTTGTGAATATGGCTTGGGAATGGTTTTGATTTACAGCAATGTTTGAGCAATTAATGTCTGCAAAAACTGCATTTGAACAGGTCTGGAGGACCCACAAAAGTTCAATATTGAACAAGGGAAAGAAAAGATTTAAATATCATGGAATCTGGACACTGAGACTTTTGTAGTAGACAATATGATCTCTGCCTAACCCGTGCTTGGGAACATTCACTAGCAATGAAGTCAAAACTATTATAGATTATCACCTGAGCATTTAGAAAACTTAATTATTAATTCAAAATTATTGATTTTTTTTTAAAATCTGCATAGTGATTGTTATGATATGGGTGAATGACAAATGTCGATTGTTCAAAGTGACCAAGCAGTAGAAACTTGTCTCAACTACTTCCAGTATATATGGGAAATTAATAAGTTCTGCCTTTTTCCAGTGATTTTTAATGTCTGATTTCTTTTTGTCGTGCTACTGCCAGAAGGTGCACCTTGCTACAGTAGGTGGACAAATAGTGCATCTCCAGAAATGTAAGCTTTCTTCTTAACAGAAATTCATGCAGAAGTGCCTTTTCATGAGTAGCTTTTGTTTAACCTTCTGTGTGTTTAATTATATTCAGTTCTTTAGAAGTGTATTTGAACCAATACATGTGAGTAAATACATAATTTGTTTCAAATATAGTTTATTGTCAAAAGCAGAAAACGAATTTATGTATGTCTATGATGTAATGGTTCAAAACATTTTAGGAAAGTCTGTTAAGACTGGTATGGTTTGTGGATTTTCTGTGTGTTCCCTTTTTCTGGAAGCTTAGGTGGCCAATGTGACTAAGACATGTCCTGGCTGTTTGGGCAGCCATATCAAATACTGTTTTCAGAAACAGATCAAATTCATGCTTATGACTGGTTATGGTTTCCTGCTTTCACATGTATATATGTGAATTCCAAAACGTCATTACTCTGGTGGTTCAAGGTTTTAATGTCTAATAGAAGTAAATTAATGGCTGTTTATTCTTGTACTTACTTTGTCAGGTAATCTTGACTTCTGGCTTTTTTTGCAAGTAAATAACTATATGCTTTATAGTCTTTATCGTACGGGACTAAGGAAGTCTGATTTTTCCACAGTTGTGGTCAAAGCTGTGTGCTAACCTGCAGCAGTTTGCGGCCATGTAGTTCTGAATTCACATGCAAGATGCACTGGTTTTTTTAAACCACTGACCTCAACACTGACAAGCTGAAAATTAACTTCTTTGGTTTCACCACCATAGCACAGGATTTGAGGAAGGTGAGGTTACAATCCCAAGTCAAGGCAGTGGAATGGATGTGGTACCAAAACACCAATGCATGCGAGTTTTGAATCAGTGTGTGAAGCAGTATAGGGTGCTTAAGAGTTTGAATTTAACACAAATTAATTTCTATTGTCCTAAAATAAAAAACTGAGGAATTAGTGATAGTGGTAATTTTACTAATTTTACACTTTGATTTAAAGAAAAGTCGTCTTTCGCTCTGATAAGAATGCCACGAGCAGCACATATACCTCAAGTAATACAGCAGTTAATTCTTTGCATGCACACTTACTGAAGTGAAATCTAGGGCTGTAAGTAAATGTGTATGTATGCTTTCTGAGCCAAGCCAAATTTCAGTGTTTCTGAATGAAATTCACAACAGCCAATTTGCTAAGCAGGGCACTATCTACCTCCACATCTGCTAATACTGGACTTGCACTTAGGCTCTGTGAAGTTCCTCCTTGACTGAAGAACATAAGCAGTAAAGATGGCACCTGATTTAGAAAGCAGCTAAATAACAACTTCAAGATGATGATACTGGATTTAGATAAAATATGTGTCCAAGCACTATTTTTTTTCATTTACTCTAGCTGCTCAATATTATTTGTAACATGTCTGAGACCAAAGTGTTCTCATTATTAAGGAATGCTGCTAATCACTACTGTGACTCTGTGATTTTTCTGGTGAATCTTGACATCATCAAGGAGATAAAACAAAAACTACTCACATAAACGAAACACTGTTTAAGGCACTTTCCTAATGCCATTTTTCATTTTTTTCAGGACCCTTCAGAGTGAAGGGAAAGGCTGGTCATTTGAGTTACGTGCTGCACTTATTAGTTGGTGCCTAGAAATTCACAACTGCTGTTGTTTTAAGGGGAAAAAAAGGCACAGCTGTCTTCAGCTTTACTCTCTCCTATCCCTACACAACAATTCCAGATTGCAGGCAGCAATTTGTGGGACACACTGAAGTGAAAGCCTCAATTACTTACTGAGTTTCAAAGTGGTGAAGGAGTTTAGACAGATCCCATGAGCTACTACTTATTAATAGCTAGCTTGCAGCAATTCCCTGCTTAGGCTGCGGTTGTGAGTCTCACTCTAAGGCACCTCTACTCTGCCCTGTGTACACTATGACAAAATTGGGGGATTTTACTGCTGGATTTTACTTTGAGGCCTCAGTTAATAAGAGTTCCCCATGTCTGTTATACAGTCTAATTCACCACACCTAATTCATCCTCACATTTTTGGGTGAAGACTGCTGAAGTGGAAAATAGTTAAAATTTCCTTGATGGTGCATTTGAGAAGCTTACTTTCAGTGCCTAATTTCTTTTAGACTTTTTTAAAATCCAACAATTATGCTTCACCTCTGATGATGATATGACATTGGGTTTTCTTATACTTAAAAGTGTTGATTTTTAAACACCAACTATTTTTCCTGCTGCCCCTAGATTGAATGTAAACAGGAAGGTCTGTGGTGCAGCTGGTAGTTTGTATATTGACACAGGTAGCACACTTTTATCTGCTTGCAAATCTGTGTTCAGAATCAGTAAGCATAAACATTTAAGTAGAATGGGACATTTAAGAGTGCACATACAGGGGATATTTTAATTATATGTGACGGGTTTATTACATGTAATTATAAAGCTATGTTCATAACCAGTCATTGGCCTCCTGTGATTCAGGAACACTGTGCTGCTGCATATTCAAGGTCAAATTATTTTCCATAGTGAAAAAAAAATTACGTTTTTCAGCTAAGTGTCAAATTTGTCTCAAGAAATTTTAATTAAGAATTGCTTATCTGATTTAGAAGATGATGGAAAGGAGGCATTTATTTTCTTCCCACCTCCCAAAAGGTGATCGTACTTACAAAATTCGTTGAGATTGTCCAAGAAAGTGTGTAAAATCCTCATCCATCACCAAGAGCCCCTGGTCAGGGAATGACAGTGCAGTAAATATCTTCAGCAGCTGCCTTTTAATGTACAAGCTGTTTTCGGTAGGAATTTTCAGGACTCACATAAAACACACTGTCATGAGTGACTGCCTGTGCTCCAAAGTCATTACTATTGGGATGATGGAACATCTTTCACCGAATAACCAAAAAACTTTAAATGTCATGTCAAGTGTGTTGAAGGCATTTTCAAGCCTTGCTCAAGGTTACATGAATATTGAGTAGGCCTGTTTTTAAAAAGTTTGAGATCTATGAGAGAAGCCACTCATATGCTGGTTTGGAAAACAGTCACTTGATCTGGAAGGGGGATGGGGAGTGACAGAAAAAGAAATCTGTCTATTAATACATGCCAAACCTGCAAAACTCCTGCCTGGATATTAACTGAGTGCAACTTTGTGTGACAGGCAATGCCAGTGATGTTTAGCAAAAAATAGTGAATTATGCAATTTCTTGAAATTATTTAGCTTGCCTAAAAGTTCCCCAAGGAAAGAAAAGGTATAACAATGGTTAATTAAATTAAAATGGATTTTAAAATACATTTTAAAATTTGAACAATTAAAAAGTATGTAGGAAATGTAATTAATGAGGTAAAACCTTGGAAGACGTGCTAGGTATCTCTTTGACTCCAGTAAGAAAGGAGGATCCTGTCATGCTATATCTGTGATTTTGTAAGAAATATGGATGTTAATTTAATGAAGACATGTAAAGTCTGTATCACTTCCAAGGGACCCAGTCCACTGCTTTTGAAGTTGGATAATATATTTTGTCTTACCTCCTTGGCATTCATTACTCCTTGTAGTACATCATCTGCATGTAAAATTTTTCTGATCAAGAGGTCTTTTTATATTACAGAATATTGAAACTGAATGTTTTAATATGAAACAAGGTTTGTTTGATTTGTCTCTGCAGAGAACCAGAAAGGCCAGCCAGAGAAGCCGTGTTCACACCACAGTATCACTTTAAACTCGACAAGAAGCCCAGTCACCAAAGAAGTTACATATGATGTGGAAACAAGCTCTAAGGTGTTGAACAGGGCTGTTGGGAGAAAGGAATCCTGTCATGGAGAAGGTGGCAAAGAAAAGAAAATGGATCGTATTGGGTCCCCTCCGAGGGGAGAAGCCATTCCAGAAGTAGAAGCTCTCTTGGCAAGACTGCGAGCACTATAGAGTAATCATATACCAGATTAAAGTTAAAAACAATAGCCTACACTACATCTTTAAAGAAATAATAATTTTCTATTTTTGACGCTACATATTTCTGACTTCCTGACTTCTCTGTGGATGAAGGATCTGCTTCTAAACTTTGTTAGCAAGATTATACAAAACAATACTATAGTTTTGTATAACTGCAAGACTGTTTTTTATTATATGTTTTTACTTAATAATCATATGAAAAGTATCAGAAAAAGATAAATACTAAATTGTTCCAAAGCACAATCTTTCTAGTGGACAGGCTGCTAACCATCTGTTTTGAGTGCTTCTGAAAATAGGAATATCTTTTAAGTATTGTTAAATCATCATGCCTGGGAATAGGGTCAATAAATAACAAAAAAGGTATTCTTATGTTTTCTACTGTAATTTTTATATTTAGGAGGCTAAAGCACCAAAAAATGTATCATTATAGTGTTCTTTTCAATTACAGTAATATACAGTATCAGCTATATTCCAGTTTGAGCTCATCAAAGAGCACCAAAGCTTGATGAATTATAGATGTATTTACCAAATGGTAATCCATGGGCAGTAAACAAAAAATCTATGCAAATAATATACTTTATGTGTAATTAATATGTCGCTGCTTTAAAGGTTATTATGATTATTATATCAAAATAATATATACAATTGCTTTGATTGCAAGATTTTGCAATTGTGTCTTTAGTGGGGGAAAATGTCTTCACAGTTATTTACCAGTGTAATATTTTATCTTTCCACATGCGAAATTAATATGTTTCTATAAAAGGAACATGTAATGGAGAAGATTTTTTCAATTGGTTTTTCACAAACTCATTTTCCAGTAGCCCATAAAGTCTTACTGCTGGCATAACAGGAGTCTTGCAAGTGATTGCATCTCTTTTATCCCACTGTCACTGTACAGGGTTGCGTGTTCGCTATCGTATTTATTAATTGCACATCAGAAAGAGCTGCTACCAGTGTTACGAAGTAGGGAGCTATTGTTAGTCTCTTTGCTCTGTTATTTAAAGCTTCCTTAATATAAGAGTGTATTAAGAATCTAATATCTTTCTTCTAAATTACTTTATTTTTCTTTACAAAATGCTGAAAAATATGTCTTTCACTAAGAGTCAGTTACATGAAACCCGTGTTTCAATGCTCCAGTGCTTTTTATATCCTTGTTTAAGTTGCCTTTGTACTTCCTGCACTAAACATTAATAAAGTTAATTAGAACTCAAAAACTGGGCCTGATTACACACATGGCATAGGGGGGTTTTCAGCCATGGTGGGAATCAATCTCCTCTTTCTGGGACTGTTGTAGCTGTCATTATGCACTAATTACATTTCCCGCCTTTGCTGAAAAAAGAGAGGTATAAACACAACTCAGGGAAGGATTCAGAGCAGGCCTGTAAGACAGACATTTCTTCAGCTCCCCTTGCAAACAATGGGCACAGCTGTCATACAAAAGACACCTTTGGTAACTTGAAATATGTCTTGAATATATAACTCAAACTGCAGCGACTGATAGTTGTTCTACTAAGGTCTTCTGCACCTCCAGTATTAACACTTACTACCTCTATTTACAGGGTGCAGTAAAAATTGCTATCTAAAAAGTCCAATATGATTGACTACATAAAATGACATTTCAAACACAAAGAAAATGCCTGTTCAAGGGGAATAAAAGTTAGCAGTACACTGGATCTCTTCAGTTGCTGGGGATGTGCTAAAATAAAAGGGCTAAAAGTAGAGGCCATACCTTAAATATTAGGATGTTCCTCCTACATTTGGAGGATGGTAGTGTAGGTGGAAGTAAAAATTATTTTCATTAACTCTGTAAACCTGTTCATTTGAATTAATGGGTGAAACTCCACGTCAGAAAACTGACAGTTCAGGATGCTACTGCATAGCTGATCAAGCAAAGAAAAGTTACAAAAGTATCTACTGAATTTTGCAATGAACAAAATGCTGCTAGAAGCCTTTAAAATAAATATTTACCTTTAAATTACAGAATTTAAGCTACATTTTTTTACAGTTTGGGAAGCTTTTAGAAAGGTATTTCAGGGCTTTTAGTCCTTCTAAGGTATTGTGTTTCTGAATTAATCCTTTCAAGCAGTCATCAAGTTAATTTGCAGAAGTTTTATTTCTGTAACAAGGCAAATAAAAAGCTGTGCGACTTCTTAGAATACATGTAAATACATTATCCAGTTTTTCTCTCCTTCTGTGCTTCTTTGTACCATCATAACTTAATCTATTCAGAGTTAAAGTACATCGTCCAGTTGAAGTACACAGTAGGCTTTCTTTCTACATTTATCTTTCTTTAATTTCCATTAGACACAAACTTATACACAGGATGTTTTTGATATGAAAAATGCTAGTATTGCCTAATGAGTTCAGAGAAAAAAAAAACTTGAAAGTATTATAGCTGCATTGATTTCTATAATTTTATGTTTTTATTAAAGTATAAAACTTGGCTTGTAAATTATATAGAGTAAATTGCTTTAATTAATTTTAAAAATTAATTCATTTATTCAGTTTAAAATTTAAAGTTAATTCAATCTCAGAATACTTAGGGTAGACATTTATTGGTATGTGCTAGTCATTTTTAGCAGGTATCGAGCCTACTCCTACGGCTGAAGTATTGAGCCATGAACCACTTCTGTTAGAAATGGACAAAGATTTCACATACTGTGCCACACCCTCTCTATAATTCACACCTGAAAATTAAGTCCTTATAAAAACAGCTTCCTGATTTAGTCAAACACGACTACTCAGATAAAAGCATTTGAAGTTATCTTGCAGGGCTCCTTCCCTACCTGAGCAGCAGACAGAAGGCACAAAAATCCATTACTTTTCTTGCCAGTATAACTGTAAAGGTCTAACACATCTTTTTGATACTTCACATGCATTTTGGATGACTTTTCATTTCACTCAGTAAAAGAATTTTGATTACTACATCAATTTTTACTTCCTGTAGACACTGTATTGTTTGTGGTGGTAGTCTAAATTTGTATGAAATATTCTAATGTTTTGACCTTAGCAAGGCAGGAGTGTTTGCAGCAGCCAAGCTTGACACCTGACTCACAGGTTGTGGGTAATACCCCAGTGTGTGTAAGCCCAGAAGCAAAAGTGGAGGAAGTGCTTTCATGGCAAACAAGTCCAACAGTGCCAGCACCTGGTGGCTGCCATGGAATGTGATAGTGCTCTGGATCAGGTGCTTCATTGAAGAGGCATGGACCAGCAACCTGAAAATACTTATTTTTAGCTCCCAATTATTATGGCAACACTACTACTTAGGAGACTGAAAGGACCACATGTAGGAAAAAAATGTCTCATATGCAGTTGCTACAAATATTATTTCTCCAGCACAAAGTTTTCTTTGTTTTCCCTCATACAACCATTCCTCAGCCCGACCCATCCCAAGTCAATTCTCCAGAACTGCGCGAGTTAATGCTGACCAGCTGGAGGTGTTGCAGCCCTTCAGGCTTTTATAATAAAAGCTGAGAAGGACGACATTTACTGCTAACACTTTTTCCACAACCATTTCTAATGAATAGGATCAAATTATAATTTTTACACTAATCTTTCCAAGCCTTACAATACTCAGTAACTATAAAACAAATGGGCAACAAACAGGGGTCAATAAACCCCAAGCTATGGCACCTAAAACATTATAATAAGCAAAGAGGGTCAAGTGAAAGAGCTCAGCAAAAAAGCAATTACATGACAACATTGCTTTCTCCAGAATGAAATAAAGCATTACTATACCATTTTCTAAATTTTTTTTAATGTGATGTATGGGTTCTACACAACTGAACCGCAGCAGAAAAATAGCTTCTCTTGAAAGTTTGAGGAACTGTTTGTCTAGTTTATTAAATAAAAGGAATTAGACAAATTGCACTTTATCAATTTTTCAATCTAATTTTATGCCAAGATTCCTATATCTAAGAAATTCTAAAATTACCATGTGCTATTAAATTAACTACAGCACCAACTAATGAACTTGGTTTGCATTTTTTAACACAAGAAGCAAGCACATTTTCTTCCTTTCCAAACACATTTTCTGTATTGCACTCTTGTGTGTTTTAGGTGAAGTATAGTATTTAGAACAAGGCTCTACCCTTCACTGTAAAAACATGTTTGATAAAGCATTCTGGTCACTCTGACAGCAGTACAAAATAAACAAGAGGTGTTCAGGCACAATTTTTCTCTCCCTCCCCGCTGCAGAGGTAGCCATTAAGTTTCATATGTTAGCTGGGTACATTTAAACTCCTTTGTGCTTCTTCTTCCATAATGCAGCTTTTTCTTTTTTGTGATCCATGCAAAGGCATACACTGAAGAATTGTTAAGGGAAATGTTTTCTAGCAGCATACCAGAAGGACACTAAGCAGATGACTTGCATATGACATCAGCCCTATATGCTGTAGGAGGCATAACACTTGAAATGTAACCCAAGCAGGCAGATAAGGTATTTCATTTCTTTCATTCCACAGAAAGAAAATGGTTCCTTTAATCTAAATGAGCTTATTCCACTGCTGATACCAGAATTGTATGTATTTTGGGAGGATAATGTACCCCTATTTTTAAATCTGTGTTACATTAGCCAGAAAAAATAAACTATGGAAAGACAGAAGTGCAGAGACTGGGGAGCAGAGTTGATTAATGTGCTGCCTGATTTCACTTCTGGGACCTGAAATTGCATTCACTGCAGAATGAAAGAACTAGGGGGGGGAAAACCCAGTCTCATTTGACATCTATAAAGGTCATGAAGGAAATGATGGTGGGTGATCCAGAGTTGGTATGGCCACAGGTGTCTTGTCTTTTCAAAGACATATATCAGAATATCCTCAGAGTAAGCAATGCTGTTGGGCTGTTAGTTCTTGAAGCCCTCAAATGAATCAAAGGAAGGAAAAGTCTGGCAGAGATAAATATGAGCTACCATAAAACCTGAGAATATTTTCATCTTAAATCCAAGCACCAGCCCTGCTCCTCTTCACTTTGGTAGCAAAAAGAAGAGCATGAGGAGAGAGAGGATTCCACATGGTGGCCATACCTTCCCTATGGCTGTGCCAGACAATGCTGCTCTTGGCAGCTGCCCTGGCTGGCACAGTGAAGGCAGCACAGATGCCACTCTGCCCTCCCAGTGTTTCAGACTGTGGAGAGACACAGGAACCATGGCCAGCAAATGTGGCCTCAAATCATGGGATCACCATAAAAAGACCCCATGGTTCTAGAGCCACACATTAAGTACAATTAAAAAAGACAGTCTTCTAAATTATTCAGGTGTCAAAACAGCACCAGAATGTGCACATATTCCTTATGCCTCCTAAAGACAGCTATTACACCCACTCTCCAAGTCTAATGACTCCATGCAAGCTGCACAGAAGGAGCTTAAATTCTCAATTATTTTGCCTTCTTATATATAGTTTAGCCCTTAATTGAAATTTTCTGTCCAAAGCAAGCCATTTTTAACTTTGCAGTCTTTAACTGTTAGTTTAAAAAGAGGCTTTTGTAAAAGCTCTGTTTAATTTGTATCATTTTAATGTGAGGGTTGTTGCACATAGTTGAAAACATGGAGTGCAACACGACTCTTTCCATTAACTAAGACAGAAATGGCAATTATGCAGTCTGTTGATCAAATTCCTTCCTAACGAAGGGTACTTTGTGCTAATGGATAGAAAAGCAGAGCAGTCCAGTCAAACAAGTCACCTTGATAGTGGAATGTAAGACCCATCAATTTTACTCACGACTTCTTCAGTAATGAATCTCAGAGCACAACCCATGAGCACTGCTCCTGAAAGACAACCACTGAGGCAGAGGAGCCACAAAAAGTGGTTTGAAATGAAAAATGGGGTGAGAGATTTCCACCGCTTTAGAATGAGAGGGAATTGATTATGGACAAATTTATCTCCAAGGTGCCAGGGCACTGCATTAAAAACACTTGGACAGGAAAACTTTCCTGCCATGTGGAAGGTGGCACCTTTCCTGCAAGGTGGCACCTTGCCTTTTTGTGCTGCAGCATCATGACAAGATAACCAGACCCCTGTCTTCATCTCCATCCTGGAATCCACTGACATTGTGGAGAATCAGAAGGAACAGTAACCATGGCAGTATGAGAATTTTTTCACTTGGGATGTAATGGCTTCCAGCCTGCAACCCCACACCACAGATTAATTGCTCAAGCCTCTGGACAATGGCT